GGATCATGGAGCCCGTTCAGATCACCGCGGCAATTATGAGCACTATGAATACCACGCGCATTGTCCTGGAGTATATGCAGAGCCTCCTGGACATGCCAAAGCAAAACCAGGACCAGCTGAGGAGGAGGCGATTGCAGCGCGGTGATGATAGTGATGAGGAAATTGACATGGACCTCTCACAAGGCACAGGCCCCAGCAATGTGGAAATCATGGTGTTACTGGGGCAGGTTCATGCCATGAACCGCCGATTCTGGGCCCGGTAAATAAGCACAGACTGGTGGGACCGCATCGTGCTGCAGGTGTGGGACGATTCCCAGTGGCTGCGAAACTTTCGCATGCGTAAGGGCACTTTCATGGAACTTTGTGACTTGCTTTCCCCTGCCCTGAAGCGCCAGAATACCAGGATGAGAGCAGCACTCACAGTTGAGAAGCGAGTGGCGATAGCCCTGTGGAAGCTTGCAACGCCAGACAGCTACCGGTCAGTCGGGAATCAATTTGGAGTGGGCAAATCTACTGTGGGGGCTGCTGTGATCCAAGTTGCCAGGGCAATGAGAGACCTGGTGATATCAAGGGTAGTGACTCTGGGAAACGTGCAGACCATAGTGGATGGCTTTGCTGCAATGGGATTCCCAAACTGTGGTGGGGCAATAGACGGAACCCATATCCCTATCTTGGCACCGGCGCACCAAGCCACCGACTACATAAACCGCAAGGGGTACTTTTCAATGCTGCTGCAAGCCCTGGTGGATCACAAGGGACGTTTCACCGACATCAACGTGGGCTGGCCGGGAAGGGTACATGATGCTCGCGTCTTCAGGCAGTCTCTTCTGTTTCGAAAGCTGGAGGAAGGGACTTTCTTCCCGGACCAGAAAATAACCGTTGGGGATGTTGAAATGCCTATCGTTATCCTTGGGGACCCAGCCTACCCCTTAATGCCATGGCTCATGAAGCCTTACACAGGCAGCCTGGACAGTAGTCAGGACCTGTTCAACTACAGGCTGAGCAAGTGCCGAATGGTGGTGGAATGTGCATTTGGGCGTTTAAAAGCGCGCTGGCGCAGCTTACTGACTCGCTCAGACCTTAGCGAAAAGAATATCCCCATTGTTATTGCTGCTTGCTGTGCGCTCCACAATATCTGTGAAAGTAAGGGGGAGACATTTATGGCGGGGTGGGAGGTTGAGGCAAATCGCCTGGCCGCTGATTACGCGCAGCCAGACACCAGGGCGGTTAGAGGAGCACAGCAGGGCGCGGTGCGCATCAGAGAAGCGTTGAAAACCAGTTTTGTGACTGGCCAGGCTACGGAGTGAAACTTCTGTTTGTTTCTCCTTGGTGAACCCTCCGCCCCTCCCCCCCCACCCGGTTAACTCTACTTCCCTGCAAACCAACCACCCCACCCTCCCCTACTACCCTCCCCCCTTCGAGCACCACTTGCAGAGGCAATAAAGTCATTGTTACTTCACATTCATGCATTCTTTATTAATTCAGCACACAACTAGGGGGATAATTGCAAAGGTAGGCCTGGATGGGTGGGGGAGGAGGGAAGGAAAAAGACACAGTGCACTTTAAAAGTTACTGCACTGGAAATCATCTAGGCTGGAGTGATTGGGTGGCCGGAGGCCCCCCCACCGTGTTCTTGGGCGTCTGGGTGAGGAGGCAATGGGACTTGGGGAGGAGGGCTGTTGGTTACAGAGGGGCTGTAGCGGCGGTCTCTGCTCCTGCTGCCTTTCCTGCAGCTCAACCATACGCAGGAGCATATCACTTTGATGCTCCAGCAGCCGGAGCATCGACTCTTGCTTTCTGAGTACAAGTTGACGCCACCTCTCCTCTTCAGCCCGCGTTTCAGCACGCAACGTCTCCTCTTCAGCCCGCGATTCAGCACGCCACCTCTCCTCTCGCTCATATTGGGCTTTTTTAAAATCAGTCATTGACTGCCTCCACGCATTCTGCTGTGCTCTGTCAGCGTGGGAGGCAGTCTGTAGTTCAGTAAACATTTCGTCACGCGTCCTTCGCTTCCTTCTTCGAATATTCACTAGCCTCTGCGAAGGAGTAAGATTTGCAGCTGGTGGAGAAGGGAGAGGTGGTTAAAAAAGATACATTTTAGAGAACAATGGGTACACTCTTTCACGTTAGATTTTGCTGTTCACATCACACAGCACATGTGCTTTCGTTACAAGGTCGCATTTTTCCTCTTATATTGAGAGTCTCCTGGTTTGGTGTGAGAGATCACTCACGCAGTGCCAGGACACAGATTTCAGCTTGCAGGCAGCCATGGTAAGACATAGTCTTTGGGCTTTTTTAACCTTCTTAACATGTGGGGATGGTTTCAAACAGTACTGCCCTCATTTCCCATACCAAGCACCCGTTTGGTTGGCCATTTAAAATGGGTTTGCAATGTAAAAGGAGGGGCTGCGGTTTCAGGTTGAACACGCAGCACAAACCCAACTAACTCCCCTCCCCCACACACCCAATTCTCTGGGATGGTCACTTCACCCCTCCCCCCCACCGCGTGGTTAACAGCGGGGAATATTTCTGTTCAGCAGAGCAGGAAGGGGCACCTCTGAATGTCCCCTTAATAAAATTGCGCTATTTCAACCAGGTGACCGTGAATGATATCACTCTCCTGAGGATAACAAAGAGCGATAAGGAATGGATGTTGTCTGCATGCCAGCAAACACCGGGACCATACGCTGCCATGCTTTGTTATGCAATGATTCCAGACTACGTGCTACTGGCCTGGCGTGGTAAAGTGTCCTACCATGGCGGACGGGATAAGGCAGCCCTCCCCAGAAACCTTTTGCAAAGGCTTTGGGAGTACATGAAGGAGAGTTTTCTGGAGATGTCCCTGGAGGATTTCCGCTCCATCCCCATACACGTTAACAGACTTTTCCAGCAGCTGTACTGGCCGCGATTGCCAGGGCAAATTAATCATTAATCATTAAACACGCTTGTTTTTAAACCATGTGTAATATTTACAAAGGTACACTCACCAGAGGTCCCCTGTGTGCCCTCAGGGTCTTGGGTGAGTTCGGGGGTTACTGGTTCCAGGTCCAGGGTGACAAACATATCCTGGCTGTTGGGGTAACTGGTTTCTCCGCTTCCTTGCTGCTGTGAGCTATCTATGTTCTCTCCATCCTCATCTTCCTCGTCCGCCGAACCCGCTTCCCTGTTTCCAGCGAGGGACTGATAGCACACGCTTGGGCTAGTGGTGGCTGCACCCCCTAGAATGGCATGCAGCTCCGCGTAGTAGCGGCATGTTTGCGGCTCAGCCCCGGATCTTCCGTTTGCGTCTCTGGCTTTGTGGTAGGCTTGCCTTAGCTCCTTAATTTTCACGCGGCACTGCTGTGCGTCCCTGTTATGGCCTCTGTCCTTCATGGCCTTGGAGATCTTTTCTAATGTTTTGCCATTTCTTTTACTGCTTCGGAGTTCGGCGAGCACTGCTTCATCTCCCCAGATGGCGATCAGATCCCGTACCTCCCGTTCGGTCCAGGCTGGAGCTCTTCTGCGATCCTGGGACTGGGACTCCATCATGGCTACCTGTGCTGATGAGCTCTGCATGGTCACCTGTGCTCTCCACACTGAGCAAACAGGAAATGAAATTCAAACGTTCGCGGGGCTTTTCCTGTCTACCTGGCCAGTGCATCTGAGATGAGAGTGCTGTCCAGAGCGGTCACAATGAAGCACTGTGGGATAGCTCCCGGAGGCCAATAATGTCGAATTCCGTCCACACTAACCCAATTCCGACCCCCTAAGGCCGATTTTATCGCTAATCCCCTCGTCGAGGTGGTGTTAAGAAACCGGTTTAAAGGGCCCTTTAAGTCGAAAGAAAGGGCTTCGTAGTGTAAACGTGTCCAGGCTTAAGTCGATTTAACGCGGCTAAAGTCGACCTAAACTCGTAGTGTAGACCAGGCCTCAGTATGGGGCCTGACGATGTCTGCAGCATATGTGAGGGCCAAACAAGTACTGCTACTGAAAATCTCTGATCAAAGGCACATGGGTCACCGGAAGTGGAGCGTGCACAGGGTCAGTACCTGAAGGAGAAATGGTGTTATTTTTAAATGTCCTGGATTTCCCCCCCATTTTTAAGGCAGACTTTAAAAAGCTCTTTTAAATACTCAGCTACAGTGGATATTGAAGGCTTCAGAATATTCTGCTACAATGTCTGTCACCAATATTCAGACATGAATAAATGGATTTACTTACTTAACCCGAGATAGTGTGTACTATGCACCTAGGAGACTGGATTGTGCTGACAATCTCAGATATTAAAATAAAAATACATTCACAGTGGACATATAAGCAGCTAATTAGGTGGATAAACTCCTGTATACCCACCCAATGGAAGAATAACATGGGACCCGGTCATCCCATCAGTTGTATCTTTACATGTGATGGAACAAATAGACCCCAGACCACATCAGGGTCTATTTGTTCCAGTTGGATATCTGTCCAGTTGGATGTTTGCCCATATTGTATGCTCTTTTGCATTCACTATTTTTTAACACTTAAGGATTTTGCATCTAGATTTGTAGTTCAAACCCAGACAGATATCCAGGCAGAGAAGGCTTAATTCAAGCCTAACTATACTCAGAGAATGTTGCAAGATGAACTTTTTTGTAGAAAAACATTCTTCCTAGAGAATATTGTCTTTTTAGTCATGTTCTGGCATATACTGAGCAAATGAAGATGGATTCAAACAATTTAGAAACTTCAGGAGGGAAGAATACATCTAGGGACAGATTTTTAAAGGCCCTTTGGGGGAATTTTCAAAAGTGCAGTGAACCCCAGACCCCTACTTACCATTTCTCCATCCACTGCTTAAAAAGGAATAGAACACATGCTGCTTCTGGGTGAGAACAGGGTGTCCTTGTAGGGATCTCTGAGGCTTTTCAGGTATGGGGACAGAAAGAAACCTGAATTGGGGAGGAAGAGTTCAAGGCCTCCCTCTCCATTTAATCTCTGTTCCACCCCATTCACAAATCTAACTATACTTACTACAGTACCTTGTTATCACCACATGCTGTGCCATCTCTCACTGAGCCAACATCCACCATGTCCCTCCCAGCATGAAATTCTGTACCCCAACACAAGATATCATCAACTGGAGTTTGAACTATGGACCCAAGACTTTTCATTTGAGGTATTTTTTTAACATTAACACACTGCAGTCTTCCACACAAGACATCTCTGAAAGAAAAAAATAACAAGAACAGTTGCTTAAAGGTTTATATGAGATTTGACGTACTCTGTGTGAGAGTTGTGGTGCGTGATGGTATTGGTGAGGCCTCGCCTAGAGTATGTGTCCAGTTTTGGGAGCCACACTTTAAAAAAGATGTAGACAAATTGGAGAGTTCAGAGGAGAGCAACAAAAATGATAAAAGGTTTTTAAAAAGCTGACTTATGAAGGATAGGTTAAAATAACTGGGTATGTTTAGCGCTAAGCAAAGAAAGCTGCAGGGAGGGGAGGGAAAAGGGGGACCTGGAAACTGTCTTCCAAAATGTTAAAGGCTGTTATACACGGAGAACAGTTGATCACTGTTCTCCATGTCCACTGCAAGGTAGGACAAGAAGTAATGGGCTTAATCTGCAGCGAGGGAGATTTAGGTCAGCTATTAGGAAAAACTATAAATAGAGTCCTATCAAATTTATGGTCCATTTTGGTCAATTTCACAGTCATGGATTTTAAAAATAGTAAATTTCATGATTCCAGCTATTTAAATCTAAAATTGTACTGTGTTGTAATTGTAGGGGTCCTGACCAAAAAAGGACTTGTGGGGGAGGGGGATTACAAGGTTATTTGTAGGGAGGATTGCAGTACTGCTAGCCTTATTTCTGTGCTGCTAGAGGTGGCGGTGTTGCCTTCAGAGCTGGGAAGCTGGAGAGTGGTGGCTTCTGGCCGGGAGCCTAGCTTTGAAGCCAGAGCTGTCTCCAGCAGCACTGCGGAAGTAAGGATGGCATGGCTTGTTATGGCCACTCTTACTTCTGCATTGCTGCTTGCAGAGCCAGGCCCTCAGTCAGCAACTGCCAGTCTCCGACCACCCAGCTCTGAAGGCAGCAGAGCAGAATTAAGGGTGGCATGATATAGTATGCTAGCAGGGCATCACCTTCAGAGCTGGTTACACAGCCAACAGCCACTGCTCTCTGGCCACCCAGCTCTGAAGGCAGCACAGTAAGGGTGGCAATACCACAACCCCCCCCAAATAACCTTGTTACCCCCGTACAACTCCCTATTGGGTCAGGACCCCCAACTTGAGAAACGCTGGTCTCCCCGATGAAATCTGTATAATATAGGGCAAAATCACACAAAAGACCAGATTTCACGGTCTGTGATGCATTTTTCATGGCCGTGAATTTGGTAGGGCCCTAACTATAAAGGTAGTCTAGCACTGGAACAGGCTTTCAAGGGAGGTTGTAGATTCCCTGTCATTGAAGGCTTTTAAGAACCAGTTACACAAACACCTATCAGGGATGGTCTAGGTTTAGTTGGCCCTGCATCAACATGAGTGGGTGGATTAGATGACCTCCCAAGGTCTGTTCCAGCCCAACATTTCAATGATTCTATGTGATCTTTTTGGACTGTGTGGCCAGCTGGGGAATCAGAGGTTAATGGTGTGGTAAGAAGAAGCAGAAGGGGTGGAAGCAAGTTTTCGGGGAAAAAAGGAAGGGGTTTGAAGAGTCATTTAAGAAATAGAGCCTATAGTCTTGGACAGCAGCCAACTTCTCCTGCAACCCCGACCCTGCTTGCTACAAACCAGCACTTCAGCCCTTTCTGCTCCTCATAGCTCAGAGAAGGTGCAGTGTGGTGTTTTTAGTTAGTTATGTTATGAGGTGCTCAAACTAATCAAAGGAATTCCAAGAGGCTTCTGCTTTCTGTCATCCTGAGGATAAGTCCCTCATTGTCAAGGGAGATAAGACCATATTTATGACTCCCAAGAGGGTATATACAAACTCAGTAAAGCTCCATTTTGAATTTTATTTTGCTTTAACTTTCTATGCCAATTTCTTACTATTTTTTTTTTGGTTATAGATGTAAACATGGTTGTTGTGATGGGTGCTTTCTATATAATATTTGATAGGAATTTTAATTCTGAAAACAGCAACTGGTAAACACCATTTGGTGTAAAAAGCAACTAAGTAAAAATAATGTCTTATCAACACCAGGACACATCTGCCTGATATAAGATTACCAGATTGGTACAGATTGGTATAGAAATAAATCCTTATCTCAAGAAAACAAACACTGTAAAGAAGATATTTTAGCAAAACTTGGTCATGTAACAGAATGTGATGATGTTCTTTATTCAGGATATTCCATAGAGGAATGTAGGGATGTGTTCTCTAAGCATAAAGTGAACCCTTCCCTTCTCTTTTTTTTTCAAAGAAAAGCCTTTAAAAAACATGTATAGTTAGAAAAGTTATAAACCTTTTGTTTATTTCTTACAAACAGCTTTTTGAAATGCGTGCTTGTATATATGTTATCTAAATGCAAAGCTTCTAATATAATTTCCTAATATCATTGCTATGTCAATGGTAAAATGTTGTATGTACCAGTATGGAATCTAATAATATAAACTACTAAACTGATTAATAATACAAGAAGCCATTTAAAGTATAGAATATTTATATTAGTGGGGGATTATTTAATTATTTAACAATATATAAGCAACTCCTTCACCCAACTCAGGAAGAAAAAAAGGAATCATTTCACCATAAATTATTATGAAGAATCAACAACTTCTTTAATAACTATATAAGCTACAGATGCTCTTTAAACATTATTGCATTTTAAAGAGACTGTTTAGAAAACTAAACTTTTAAAGAACGGGAGCATTAGGTCTTTTTGAAAAAAACAAACAAACAAACAGAATTTTATGACCTGTTGAATTCTAATAAAATTGAAGGACTAGCTCAGAAAATGGACTGGATAAAAAGAAAGAATTAAAACTCCAAAAATTATCTAGTACTCTTTTGCCACAGAAGAACAAAGCCAATTAGAAGCATATGCATTATTCATTCATTAAGCGAACTGCATATTTAGAAACTGAAGGTTTCACGAAAATCAACACTTGAAGGCACGGAGCAAGTGAAAGGATGACAAGCGGCCAACTTTAAATATAAACCAAATTGAAAGAAGTGTATTTTTTTATAGTTTCAAGAAGAGTATAAAAAACTCGGAAGTGAGCACCCATCACTCTCACAGCCTCTGCTATGACACATAATACTCATCAATTCATCGTGTCTACCTCTACAAACAAGGTGCTACAGATACATAAGAAGAACAAAGAAGCTATCACCAGAGAAGCCACAAGAAAACCTCCCCAAGGACAACCCCCTGAAAGGAGAAGAGGTGAGTGGAAGTTAACGAGAATGCTGTCAATGGATTAGATTTAAAGACTCTTGTCATTGGTTTTATTGTGATATTGAAATGCTTTTGTAATTAAAGATGTTAATGGTTTCTCCTTTTAGGTACCAAATTGTTAGACCCTATATTCCTGGAGAACCTAGAATTCCTGGAGAGAATACCAATTATTGGTAACAGAAAAAGTAGGGATTTAATTGGATTTTGGATTTTTAAAATTCCTTAACTGGCCTGTTTTAAGACATCGCCTCAAATGACTTCTTCTAAGTAATGAATTTAAATATTTTGAGTTCAAAGGATTAGTTAAGATTGTTTACTATGCTCAATTAAAAACTGTATGTTATCCCTGATAACCAACAGAACTCCCCTTTCCTGAAACAAAATTATTTTACCCTTTCCCGAAACAAAACTCTTTTGCCCATTGTGAGAAAGCAAAGTGAGATGGAGCAAGAGAGCTACCCTGCAGGAGACTTGAAGCCTGGAGCAGGCTTGCTAAATGAGTCAGCCAGAGATATGTGGCACAGAGAAGGAACCTTAAGCAGCTGATTCGTTACAGGAGAACTCAAGCAGTCCTGGGGAAAGGAGGATGGACAGATTGACTCTGAGAAGCCACAAGGGAGTCAGTTTGGCCAGGGCAGGACTGGGCAGCTGCAAGCTTATGAGACTCTGGGAAGGAACCTTTTTCATTTGCTCAGGCTCTGATGTAAGAGGCATAACCTAGGCATAACCTAGGATAGATTTTTGGGATTCTGTAAGTGACTGGGAAAATTCCTTTTTTAAGTTTTGTTTTTGGACTCTCACCCCAAGTGAGTTTGTTTGACTGCTTCTTTTTCTCTCTCTTTCAGATTATTTTAAGCTACAGGATCAGTTGGGATTGAGTGTTTGGGGACTGCTTGATCCTTTTTTCCCTGGATCATCCTTGATCATCTTTGATTAGCCTCAGTCAGCATTGTGATCACCCTCCCACTGTGTGATTAACAAGGGGGTAGGGCTGACCTAGGAGAGAAGGCCTTAAAAGCAAGAGGCTAACTGACCAAGGGGAGCTAGCAAACAGGAGAATTTATAAGACGGAATCGTAATATAATCACCATGGTTAGGAAGGGCCACATCACCAGTACCAACAGTGCTCCTGTCTCCTCTATCTGCAACTGTATCCAGACAGAGAACCTAACCATGGATGCCTCTACCCAGATCCTGGTGTGGATTTGCAGAGACTGTGGCCTGCATTTCCCACTCTCAGAAAGCCAGGCTTGGGGAGGGGGACGGACTGTCCAGTGTGAAAGGTGCCTGCTGGTGGAATCTGCAGAAAGCAGGTGGAAGAGTTACAGGAGTAGGTGGCTAGGCTGAGGCATTCCATCCATGCCCATGAGGAATTCATTGAGAGTATTCATATGGAGACGTTCAAGGCTGAGAAAGCTATCCAGCTAGAGAGGACTGCTGTCATGCCACCGGGGAGGAGGATATGGCTCTGTCACAGGGAGGACACTGGATTTTGGTTACTTATGGCAACAGGCAGTGCTCCACCCCTACTCTCAACCCACCGATCACAGTGATGAAGAACCTTTATACTGCCCTGGCAACCAATGATGAGGAATCCCCCCAAAAGTGGAGGAGGAAAAGCCATGTACCCCGAAGGCTGGGAGGATTGCAGCTACCACTCCCAGGAGGAAACAGAGGGTAGTGCTGTTTGGTGACTCTTCTGAGGGGGACAGAGGCACCCATTTGTCGCCCTGACATGGCATCCTGGGAGTTATGCTGCCTTCCAGGGGCCAGAATCATAGATTGGGATTGTCAAGGATCGTCCGGGCCTCTGACTACTACCCTGTAC